CCTGACTGGGACCGCTTTCCTCCATCTTCGCCACATTGCCCGCCTCCAACCGTAGCATACCCTTGATGCAGTCGAAACATTCACCCATGGGTTCGTCGTCTCAACTGGATGTCCTCCCGACATGAAAGGTGCTTTACAAATGTAATTTTGTTGTTGTTGTCACCTCCCAATTCAACTTGTCAAATGCTCTCTTTCCCCAGCTCCACCATGCACAAGATCCAGCTGATTCAAAAATCTGCCGCCCGCTTACTCACCCACAATAAACTCTGTACCCCCATCATACCAGCTCTAGCCTGGCTTCACTATCTCCCTATCGTTGAATGAATTGATTTCAAGATCCTCACACTCGTTTTCAAATCCCTTCATGCCCTGGCACCTCCCTACCTCTCCGATCTGCTTACTCTACAACTCACAACCCGCTGCCTCTGCTCGACTGGCTTCAGCGTTCTGCACGTCCCTCATGCCCTCCGTTCTACCACTGGTAGCCCCCGAAACTTTGAAACACTCTTCCTCTATCCCTCCTCCTTGCCCCTTCCTTCATCATCTTCCGGTCGTGCCTGAAGACCTTCCTATTCGACCGTGCCTACGGTCACCTCCCCGGCTCAGCGTCGTGCTCAGTCACGGTCAAGCGCTTTGGGACGCTACCCTGCTTGAGGGGCACTATGTAAATACAAATTGTTGTCGTTGACATTTAATTACCTATGGACCTATTTATTTAAATAACAAGGAAGTTTTTAACAGTATCCTGATCAACAATCCCCCAGAGATTAAAAACATATCGTGATGACTGTTTCTGAGAAATTGACTGTTACGTTTGCATACAGAATAGTTACACTTCATGGAAATATTTTGTGAGATCTTTTGACAAGATAAAATATAAAATGCAAGGATTCTTATTGTTCCACTTATTGTTAGAAGATGATTATGGACATATGGATCTTTAAATTACCCCCAATTCAATACTGAATGTGCAGCATGTGTGTTGAAGGAATTTAGATTACTCTTCTTTCTGAATTTATCTTCTCATATCGGTCAGCTGGGTCTAAATATTTTTATTACTGTTGCCCTGTGATGCACTGCAGGACATTCTGCTGATATGTCTGAGTGTGTCCATATACACACACTTTTACCCTATAAGGTGGAAATGCTTCAAATACTCGCCACTGAGTAATTGGTGTTTTCTTCAGGTCAGGATCATGTAAGCAACATTTGAAACTGAAGACAGAGGAAGGGAGGACTTATTGCATTGTGAAGGGTCAGATATGTGGGAGTCCTGGTAGCTGATCTCTACACTGCATTTTCATTTTGCTGACAAAGATGTAAGAGTTTTGTAGGAAATGGCACGGTGAACTTTCCAGTGACGTTGTGCCTTGTGGTTGTACATTAAATGCTGATTGTGGGGTTGTAAGGAGATGTTCTGAGTCCTTATGACTTTCTCTTATCTGTTGTCCCATAAATAATATAGAGTTTAATTTCCTGAACCTGATAGCTCACAGACACTGCTAAACCATTATGAGTAGGTAGGTTTTTATTGCTCAAATACCCTTGTTCAAAATAGCAAGAGTTGACAATATGCATGCATTATTATAGGAAATTGTCTTTCATGAGGGTTCAGATATACACTAATGCAGTCTGAGAAGGAATGCCGTTAGCAGTTCATACAATGAAAATAATTGTGCTTGGCTAATGCGCCTCACAAACCATTTAGATAATTCCTTCTACTGGCTGTTCACCCAAGTACCTGTGTTGTGCATATTTATTGTCAGCCACACCTACTAAATTCACTGTTGTCTCCAATTAACAATACACTGACTTGAGTTTTGTTTAAATCACAGTAGAGAACAAAACATTTCATAAAGATTCTGCTCTCAACAAATCAGCAGGATTAAAATCTCTTATCATAAATGCTTTGAGCCCTTAAAATAATGTTGGTTACTTAAAGATTCAGTTGCTCTGTTTTCTCCCTGTTCCCCTGACCTGTTCATCATAATTTAGGAAGCATGCTGGTTGTCCTTATGCTATTTTCTGTGAAGATATCCCAGGATTTTTGAGTGGAGGGTCAATTTGAGGAATGTGCAGTTAGTGCAGTCACAGTGCTGACCTCTGCTCTTCCTCTCTGGGTTCTTGCAAATCAGATGCAGAGCTAAAGGGCAAAGAGCAGAGGATTGCTGTGAGGACGAAAGCCAGAAAACATTAATATCTGGATAATGCTGGAATCAGCAGGAGACTATTGCTTGCAAAATGGGCGTCCTCTTTTACTCCCCCCAAAATTATTTTATGCAAGTGCTTAGAAGCTGCTCAAGTGCTGGCATTCATCAAACAATTCAGCCTGTACAGTAAAGAACATCGGGTGAATTCTCCTAGGTTTAAACGTAAAAACTCAACTACAAGTGCTGAACAATGAACTAACTGTTGTATAGGGATCAGTGCCCAACCCCCACAGTTGTGATTTTGGCTAGGAATGCACAGTTAACAAAACTTTTGTAGCAGAGCAAAGCATTCATTCAATAAAAGAAAACTTTTTTTAGAATATTAAACGTTTGCTCTTAAATATGAAACTGATATCATTTTACACTTGGCATTTTAGTATCCCGTTTCACTTGAGTTTCTGTGTACAGTGTTTTAAAATGTTAACTAACTAATTATTTCAAATTCAATGCGTCAGTTGTGCTAACTGTCTCTAAGTTGTATTCTGCTAACTTTTCCTTTTAAATTTTGGATTTAAATCAGCAGTGTGTTAGACTGATTGCAGGTTAACTGCACACCTTCAATCTTCAATTTAAGATGATTTGTTTCTTTAGAAGCTTTTCTCTCCGACATAAAGGTTTACAAGATCACAAAGAAGAGGTTCAAGTGTACTATACATAAAGACATAAGGACCATTTAAGTCATTTTTAACTGATTTTGCATTGATTAAATACCAACTATTTTTGCCATCACTGATTTTCTAGCCTGAATTTGATCTTAAAAACCTGATGAGCTATATTTTTCCAGTGATGTTCATCAGTTTCTGAGAAGGTGTGTGTGCATGGTGAAGCTAATTTATTTGTTGTGCCCATTGCACCAAATTGAAAAATAGCCTTTTTCTTCTTGTGGATAACTTAACTTTAATGGGCCTTAACTATACATCTTAGGTTCAAGGTTTTGTCAACTATACCGCACAGGTTAATGACACTTCCAGAATAGGCTGATGTTCAACCAGATGGTCATTAGTTCAAGATGGTCATGCACCTTCCCTCACATTTCAGTCGTGCCTCTACACTGTTCCTTTCCACAAGATCACTTGCCCTTTCCTAAGGCTACCAGAGCACAATCCACTTTCCTATGATTGTACTCCTAATGTGAATGATTTTATCCTTTTTCTAAAAAGAATTCACGCATTCTCTGAACTCTGACAGCAACAACAAAATTACATTTATAAAGAGCCTTTCACATCAGGAGGATGCCATAAGGCGCTGGACAGTCAGGGGTCAGGACCCGAGAATGGGGGAGGGATGGGGTAGGGGTGAAGGAAGGCAGAGAGGTGGGAGGGCGACCGAAGGCATGATCGAAGAGGAGGGTCTTGAGACCGGCCTTGAAGGAGGCAAGGGAGGAAGCGAGGCGAAGGGCCTGTGGGATGGAGTTCCAGAGTGTGAGGGCTGAGAGGCTGAAAGACCGGCCACCGATAGTAGGGCAGGTCAGGCGGGAGACATGGAGCAGGCCGGAGCCCGCTGAACAGGGGGAGCGGGCAGGTTGGTAGGGAGTCAGCAGGTCAGAGAGGTAGGAGCGCGCAAGGCCATGGATGGCCTTGAAAGTGAGGACGAGTATCTTGAATTCGATCCTCTGAGGGATGGGGAGCCAGTGGAGTCGGGCGAGGGTGGGAGTTTGACCTTCCTTAATTGCAGTGTGGCACTTTGCTCTATGTTAGAAGTGACTAATTGAAATATTGTGCTTTTTAAGTCCTCCATTAGTTTGACTTCACTTTAGTTCAAGTAATGCAAGTGTGTGTTATATTCTACCAGTAAAAAGTCACCCACAAAATACACAGTCAATCCACTTTACAGTATATTCTGTGAAGCGTTTCGAAATATCTTAAGACTTGATAATATAATATGTCAAATGTAAGGATTATTATAAGTATAGAGTTTCTTGGCAAAAGCTGATTTACTTTACTAAATTAGGAACTTGGGTATATTTTGAGTAATGTAACACAAATTATACAGTCAGAAGATGAGTTTCATTGATTTGAATGAGACTTAAATTTATTTGTGTAGTCCTGTAGCTTAGTGGTTAGAGCCCTTGCCTCGCAAGCAAGAGGATCTGGGTTCGATTCCTCGGTAGGGCGAAACGTTGGGCAAGCTTCCTTACTCCACTTGACTCTGTTTACCTAGCAGTAAATAGGAACCGGTTGTTAGTCGATTGGCGGATTGCTTTTCTGGGAGTAATAATCCCTTCAAAAAAATAATAATAATTTGGTTACTCAATCCACGACTGTTTGTGGGACATTTCAGTGTGGAAAATGGCTGCCGTGTTTCACCCATAAAATATACAGTCAATTTACTTTACAGTATATTCTGTGGTGCACTTTGAGAGATCCCAAAGACATAATAAGGCACTATATCAAATGCAAGGATTATTATTATTTGTTTACATTTGAATTTAGAAATGACCAGTAATATAGTGGACAGATCTGCAGCTTAAGCACAAGGAGCTTACAGGTTCGAATCTCAGTTTTCTGGTCTCAGCCAGACATGGGGTCTCAGTTAGCCCTGGTCCAGTGTTTGGGAGGGGAAAACCAGTCATTGTTCCTACTCTTCGTCCCTCCTCCCATTTCTCATACTAAACTTGTTCTTGTAAGGAATGTAAGATTTTTGACCCGGATGCATTTGTAATAACTGACTTACTGACTATTGCAGTTTTGTTATTTGCCAAACCTATTTATTTTCCTTCGTCTCTGTCTCTTCTCTCCCCCCCCCCGTTCCCCCGTTCCCCCCCTCCCCCCCGTCCCCCACCTTTAACAGCTTATCCCAAAGCCCAACGAACAGGCCAGGCAGCATGAAAGTCATCCAGAAGAAACCGAGGAGGAACTCCGAGAGCACCAGGCGATGCCTGATGAGCCATACTCAGAGCGGAGCCCCAACCAAAGCGAATGTGTATCCCTGAAGAAGATGGTGCAGGTGAAACAGGAACCCATTGAGAGCGATGAAGATGATGAAGAGCAGCGAGAGCTGGAGCAACGAAAAAGGCATGCAGAGCAACAACAGGAACTTCTTTTCAGACAGGTTTGTGTTGTGTGGTGCAAGTAGATCTGCGCCCGGATTTGCGTCACGTGAAGTGGTACAGATTCTGACACATTTATACTTTTTTGGCTGGAGGAATGTAGATGAAAGATAAGACTTGCCTTCTTAGTTAACCTTATCCAGAAACTGATTCCAGTAGTGTTATTATACATGCACATAATGTGTTTTGTTTCTGCATTACTTAGTATTTTGAACATGTTTTGTTTGTTTTCACCGAAGTTTGAGACATCTGAGATGTTGTTTCTCATCAATGTAGTTTGCATTTTATTAATTATCAGTCGTGGTTAGTCCCATCAAAACCAGATCCCTAGCTTGTTTGACGGCTATTACGTTTTACCTAAAAAAAAGATAGTCCTGTAGCCAGTGTTTTATTATATTTTATACTTGTTAAAATAATAAGTAAAATACTTTGGACTATGGTTGTGTGTGTGTGTGAGTGTGTTTGTGGCCTCCATATGATTGTATCATCCAATTTCTTTTTTGCAAATAATCATAATAAGCAATATTCAGGAACATTCAGCCCTGGGATGGATCTGATGCAGCACTAAACAAGCATTTTTTTTATCAGCTCATGATTTTCTTACTCTCTTGTTCAGGTACACAACCAGTGCCAGTTCCAATGTTGTGTCATTGAGGAGATATTCATATGCTGTTTCCACATAATACTCGAATATAGAATTGAAGTTCTTTGTTTGTGAAGGTTATTGATTTGTTAGCTATTGTGATGTTTCAGAAAAGTTTAACAAATGGTAGGTGCCTGCTGAAGTTCATACATTAAGTTTCACAGGGAGTTAATAAGCGTTACGTCTAAGGTTGTACACTGGTTTTGACACTCAGCTAAATAATACAATTGTCTTTCCAGGATCTCTCTAGGCTTTTGATTGCATTAGATCAGTGTTTATATGGATAAACGCTATTCCCTTTAAATTGGGTCTCTTATAACTCCTTGTTTTCTGTCGAGAGATGCCTAGGTAGTGACCTCGGTCTTTTAAGGAGACTCATTTGAACATTTTGTTTCTGTTGATTTGTAGGTAGTAGAAAGCGTCTGTGTATAACCAATGAGGAAGCCACACTGTCATATTTTAACTCCATAAGGGAGTTAATCTGCTTAAAATCTTGGGGTGGGGGGGGGAGTTGCACATCTAAAGCTGCATGAAGACATGTGAGACGTTGCTGGTAACTTTCACAGGTACAACAAGTTGAAAGTATTGCAGGTTGAAAGAATTCTAATTAACTGCATTTGAGATCTTTGATAGTCCTTATCCCCTTGAGGGACTTTCTGTTTGGTAGCAATCCTAGGTGGGGCATGCTTCACTGAATTGAAATATTTGGGAAGCAGAAAGTGACTTATTTGTAAGGGAGCTCATTTTATGATCTAGATGAAAGGCTGTGCCTTTAACCATAACGTTTAATAAATCAGATAACGTTAACCAATGGAATCTATCTGTGCAGATGGAACAAGACTCCCAGGCCCCCAATGTCAGTGATATCATTAATTTGTCTGAAAAGCAGAGCTGTTTCCTGATAAATCTTTAAACTTTGACCTGATTGACCTGCCAAGTGCCTTTCCTAGGGCAGAGCAGAATCAAACAGGAGGTTTCGTGGAAAGAAAGAAAAGGATAAAAAATTCCCTCTGTGTCCAAAAAAGGAAAGAACCGCACTTCTAAATGAGAAGGGTTGTTGTTCTGCAGGACTCTGTTATTTTGCTATTGCAAGTCGATTCATTTGAAAAGCAAATCAGAAGATAGAACATCAAAGGTCTTTAGATATACTATGTTATTTCTGAATTAAAATGGTCAAATCAGATTCTGGAGTTTGGAAGGAAAATATTATACCAGAAATCAATGAAAGGAGCTCATTAGTGAACATCATATTTAAACTCTGTTACGGCTAGACCTTTGATGTACTGTGAAGACCACTACCTAAATCCTGATTAGTACTGTGTGGGGAGAGGCAGGTGAGAGAGAGGGCAATACCATTCCTTGCGGTTGACACCAGTATATTTGGGTTCCTGGAGGAATTGACGGTGAGTGACACAATTACTGTATGGAATGCGACTTCTACCTATTTACATGGCTTTGATATATCTGGCTGGAGGAGACTGCAAAGGTGAACTGTTTCTAACCGATGGGTAAAAGTGAAGAAAATGATGTTATGTTCATTAGAAAGCTTAAAAAGCTGTAACTTTACATTGGCGTGTCCCACATTTATCAAACCTACCCCTAGGAATAGGACTCATATAGGCTTTAAACACCCACCTTAAATGAGAAGATATTGATGTCATTTATAACTGAGAAGGAAGGTTCAGTGCAGTTACTGTAAATTGCCTGTGTGTGGATTCTACAAGGAGCATGTTATAATCTAAATGTCAATAGGTCTTAGTTAAAGCACAGTCACTTATCCATAAACAGTGAGCTAATAAAACCTATATTTCAGCTCTGAAAAAGAGGGGCCTGTTTTATCTCTAATGAGCTGGACTGCTCAGCTAGATTACAAATTGCCCTGTATACAGTTCAAAGCATGAGGGGCTTGGTCATTAATCTGTCTACTTCAAAGCCCAGCAGGTGTTTTTCCCTTTAGTTTCTCTACACAGGTTTACAGTGGAACCACGGGCAGTCCTATAAATGTTTATAGAGTGAAGGAAGGCGAAAACACAAACAAAAAAATGTGCAATTACCTTGTAATGTGCTGCGGGAGGAGGATGGGAGTTGGGCTGGGGGGGGGGCGGGGCGAATTGCTAACATTTGTAGTTTGCTCATTTAGAACTTGTACACGTCTGCATAATTGAAAGGGTAAATTAAACGCAAACTTCCGAAATAGGTTTTGAAATCCATCCTTCCCCAAATTCGTAGGCCGAAAGTAAATACTACTACAGTAGTGGCATAATTGGATAATTTATTTAAAATCAAAACAAGTACTAATCCTGCATCAAGTGTACAATTGTAGGCTACTATAATGATTAAAAGTGGTTGATCTTTCTTGCTACATTGCTACAAAATCATTCTGTATTTTGATGTTCCTCAGCCCACGTGATTTGTTGCCATTAACTAGCCTGTAATGTTTCATGTATGACTGATTCTGGCGAATTGTTTTGGTTTTGAAACTAATGTAATTTTTATTTGCCCTCAGCAGTTAAACACTGAGGTTTTTATTTTGATGTTCTGTGTCTCAATCGCACCCCCTGCAGGGGAGTGAAAGTACAGTCAAAAGGTTGGATGTGTCTTCATCTGGATGCATCTTCTTTCCAATTAATTTCTTTACAAAAACAGAAAGAAATTTTGCAATTTAATATAAAAAGCCCAGCAAATTCTTTTCACAAAGCTCTCCAAGACGCTGCCCCGCATGAAGGGCGCTATATAAATGCAAGTTGTTGTTGTTTATACTCACCCACAAAACATTCCCTACACATTACTGTGTGTCCTATGAAATGCCCTCCTGTTGTGAAAGGTGCTATACCAAATTTAAGGACTATTATGAGATTTGTGTTTTAAGTAGATGATTTTACATAGGCTGGTCGGAATGTGGACATCTTTGACACAGCCTGCTATTGGGTAGAGTCCATGAATTCCGTGAGAAGGGAATTGAATAAAAATGCTGGAGGGGAAGAATATTGAGAGGCATGGAGGACTGGAGCAGGAAAGTGCCTTATTTGGAGTGAGGGACCAGCATAGATTTGGGTCGATTGCTTTAATCGACAATAATTGTCGATTGCTGTGTTCTAACATGGTGATTCCCCCACCCTCTTCTGATGGCAGGAATTCTTGGACTTCCTTGTTGGACTTCCAGTTCGTCCTCTCATACATGGCCCAAGTGATTTCTCTTATGTATTGATAGGTGGTGAGGAGAAGGCTCATAACACATATCTTCATCCAATGTCCTTTTGCCTTTACAGCAGTGTTATTGAGTAACATGGACATGCTAGCCTAAATATTTCAGATTAGGCAAAATTTTGACTTATTGTAAAAATAACAATCCTTACATGTGATATAGCACCCTTCAGGTTTGGAGGTCATCACAAAACACAAATAGGATTTACGATAAATGTAGTAAGTATTTTTGTAGTTGAACACAATGCACAACACTATCCCATAAACAACTATTTTTTGTTAAACTTCCAATCATCGTTTGGGACTTTTAGTATTAACAGCATGCTGATGTTCATGTGTGTTTTTTTTTGTCTCCATGGTAAAGCAAGCCCTTCTGCTGGAACAACAGCGCATTCATCAGCTTCGCAATTACCAGGCATCGATGGAGGCAGCAGGGATCCCAATCTCCTATGCTGGCCACCGCCCCCTCTCCCGGGCACAGTCCTCACCTGCTACTGCTACTTTCCCTATTACCGTTCAGGAACCTCCCAGTAAACCCCAATTCACTACAGGTAAGAAGCTTGTCAGAATTGGGATGGCTCATTTTCTTATCTACTTTTTTCAAAAATTATTGCATGAATTTCTATTTTACTGACTCTCCATGCAATAGTTGAATATCCTATTCTATTACTCACCGCTAAAATGGCAATTATAATCACAATTGATTCATATATACAATGAAATGAACAAAAGAAAGCAATGTTCCTTTTATGTCACCCTCCTGCTCCTACTACTTTTGAAGCTCCAGCTTTAATTTATACAGTCATGTCCTACTTTGCCCCCCAAAAAAATATGTTTCAGACTGTTGGAAACCTTTATGTAGAGTACAAACAGCAGGATTCTAGGTGTTAATATTTTCAGAATCATTATTCATATGTTTCATATTTAAGATCTCCCTTTATGATTGTTCCCTTTGAAGGCACTTTATGAAAGAGAAACGATGGAGAGATGAGGCGATAGAGGTGCTCATCAGTAAACCCTGCTTGTGTTAAAATACATAGACTTCGCTGTTTTGATTGGTTCTGCACATGATAAAAGCGAGCAAGGATATTGGATTCGAGTAGATAGCTCCAATGGGGAGCTCACACCAGCACAGACAACTATGGGCCAAATGGGCTGCTTCTATTCTGTAGAATATAATTCTAACAATTCATACTGGAATAAAGCAATGGTATAATAATAATAATAATCCTTGCATTTGATATAGCACTTTTCACGTCTTCTAAATGTTTCAAAGCGCTTCACAGAATATGCTGTAAAGTGAATTGACCATATATTTGTGGGTCAAACGTGGCAGCCAATTGCGCACACCAGTGTCCCACAAACAGTCGTGGATTGAAAATGACCATTTTATTATTGTTTTGTTTTGGAGGGATTATTATTAGGTGTGTGGAGTAAAGAAACTTGCCCAAGGTATAGCACATAGCCACCTTAAACATAAGAATATAAAAAATGCTGGATGAAAAAAAGCCCAAAGCCCATCTAGTTCGCCTTCCACCTACTGGTGGTCATATGCACATATGTCCCAAACTACCTATGTACTATATCCCATAATGTTATTTCCTAAAAGAAAACTATCGAATCTGTGTTTGAAAGAATCAACATATCTGCTTCAACCGTCTCCCTAGGGAGCCTGTTCCACAGGTTCACTATTCGCTCACTGAAATAGTGTTTGCGTAGATTTGTTCTGAATTTACTCCCCTTCAATCGCAGGCTATGTCCTCTGATTTTACTATTCTGGACAAGTTGAAACAGTCTATCATGATCTATATTGGTTGCCCCTTTAGAATCTTAAAAGACAGCAATTATGTTGCCTCTCGATCTTCTCTTTTCCAGCGTGAATATGCCCAATTTACTTAGTCGTTCCTCATAGTCCAATCCTTCCATTCCCTCAGTCATTTTGGTTGCCCTCCTCTGTATCTTCTTGATTTCTCCATTATCCTTTTTGCACTGCGGTGACCAGAACCAGAACAGAATACCTTGCTGTGCTACATTGGGGTGCACAGTTGGCTGAATGCTTGATCTGTATCGTGGCATTTGAGGAAATCCTAAGTCTTGAGTCGTGTTCTGAGTGCTTTTCTCGTTTCTGGTGCCCCTCTTGCTTCCTGTTTATTGCTGACTTTTCTCCCTGTGACAGGACTTGTGTACGATACGCTGATGCTGAAACACCAGTGCACCTGCGGCAACACAAATCGGCACCCAGAGCATGCCGGGAGGATCCAGAGCATCTGGTCCCGACTCCAAGAGACAGGGTTGCGGAGCAAATGTGAGGTAATTACTGAAGCAAGCTGGAAGGAACTTCCCAATCTAAGCCAGTACCATAGCACAATGCTGTGACAAGATGGAAAGCACTTCAACAACTTACACTGGTATAGACCTTTTCACATAAGTTGAACGTCTCGTAGTGATTCACAGCCCCAATGGGGAGGAAAGGTAAGAGAATTTGAGGTCAAATAGATAAGTTTTTAGGATTATGTAGTAAGAAAAAAGCACAATACCTCAGGATTCTTGAGAGAGTTTCAGAAAGGAGAGGTATCATGGCTGAAAATGTGACCACCAAAGGTGGAATGTAGATGGGCAAACAATAGGACAGAGCTTGAGTGAAGGGTACAGGTGGGAGAGCTGCCCTGGAGGAGATTGGAGAGATGGTCAGCCAAGATCATTAATGATCAGGATTGCAATCTTACCAGTGGTACATAAACAATTCTTAATAGTTCATGTTATGTTTTAGAATTTTACAGTGTACGAGTCCATTTGGCCCATCGTGTCTGTGCTGGCTCTTTGAAAAAGTTATCCACTTTGTCCAACTCAATTATTCAGTGTACTGAGACACCTTTGAATGTCCTTGTCCATGGTATTCAATGGCAAAGTTGCCAATTTTCTTTTCAAGACTTTTCATGAGCCATTCCTGGTTTAGAAGTGATATGGTCACATCCACTTTGTAGCTGGCAACGAGGAAGTTTCTACAAATTACTTGCCCATTAAGCAACTGTTTTTAACGGAAATTTGGCCGTGGTATGGTGATTTCTATGCTAGTTTGAAATATTACAAAATGCAAAATGAATGCAATGAAACTATGTGACATAAAAATCTCCTCAAGTTTTGACACTAAACCTGGTCAAAAATGTATACTTTTAAGCATTTCACATAAATGTTCCAAGAATGTACTCGAATGTTTGTTTGTTTGTTTACTCGAAGAATGTTTGTTCTCGTTTGGTAACCTTCATGTACAACATTGGAATTTAGGAACAAGAGAAGACTGTTCAGCCTGTCAGGCGCATGCCCTGTACTCAATCAGTATTATTCCGTATTGTCAATAATAAGAATATCATTATTATATTATTGTTAATCCATTCTTGGGGAGCTTCTTATCAGAAAATTCTAATTGTTTTCCTGACCCATTTAGAAACGTTATTGTTTATCACACAATACCCGTTTTTTCCTCTTTCCTTTTCTCTCTTCCCCCCAAATTTGTGAGAGTGGTGGGAGAGACAGAAGGAAATGTGCTGCTCCTCAGGTGAGGAGACTGCAGTTGGTTTAAAACCTGGAGCATACGGCACTTAAGTGCAAACATATTTATTTTACAATTTCAAAGACTTGCAGCTCACCGTGATGCTGGCACCAGTCCATTTGAACTTTTACCTACACAGGACTTTGCTGGTACATGGAAATATTGAACAGTAATCTCATATGGAAGATGTATAAATAGAAATGTAAGCAGTGTTTGCAAAGTATAGAAAATATTCTTTCCTTATGCCAGATATTGTATTGTATGTTAAGAAACATGGTGACTATTTAGGTAACCTTACTGTGATGGAATTGTACCTTTTGCAATGTATGTATATCTGTATATTATTCTTCAGGGTCTGTTCTGCATCCTTCTGCCTTGTTTAGGATATTTTGCTACCACAACATGCCCTTCTGAGCAAAGAATGTCTTATTTTTTCCTATTCTTTGAAGACCTATTTTGTCAGTTTCAAGTCTCACCATTCACTGTGACTTGTTGCCTGATGACTTGCAATCCTCCTTCAGCCACCCACATTCTTGACTTTATTCCTGCCTTTGATTTGAAATGGAATAAACGCTCACATCTGCCTCGTTGATTAAGCTGTTTCCAATAAGCTAGATTTTCTCTTTTGTGCCAAACACTTATCTTTTCCTCAACAATTATTAATCCCTGGTTTGCTGAAGACTTAATTACTGGTTTCTTGAAGCACCTTTCTGACATTCTTGGGGCAGTTTACAAGAAAAAGTTCTATTATTTGTGATCCTTCTCGCACTTCTGTTCTCCAAGCTCTCTTCATCAAAGTCTCTTATCCTTCGACATTCTGTTGGTAATATTCATCTCTTTCCTTTTGTTATTCCCAATTGTCCAAAACTCTATCCAGCAACGTTTACATCTTCACTTCATTGCAGACTTATTATTACATCTCCTAACTAAGTTTGGTACTGAAAGATTTTGATTCTTCCTGATTTATCTTTGTCCTTGACCATTTGCCTAGGTTTCTTAATATAAAAACATACATGGCTATATTCCACATCAATATTCCTCTACTGAGTAATCCTGTATTGTGCTAGCAGTATACGTAAGGTTATTATTCCTATTCAGGGTTAACTTCAAATATTTGGACAAGCTGCCACTATATAGTTAGCTATTTTGTTGCAAGGGTTAACTTCTGTTGATGCCAGTGTCAGCATTCTATTGTTCTTTGTGCTATTTTATTAATACTTTTCGTAAAGTATTTATACTTTGCATTTGTTATCCTTCATGCAAACAGTTAATGTAGAAAAAATGTGGATAAGCCCTTGACAAATTTTGATTTTGAACAACATCTGTCAACGTCTTCACTCCTGCAAATCTGAACTCCTCAACCTCCCTGAGCTCTCCCTCAGTCTCACTGAACCAATGTGCAATCTTGGTGTCCGGTTCGACCCCCAGTTGTCCTTTCTCCCCCATATCCAGTCCCTGACCAGGACTGCCTTCCTCCATCTTCACCACATTACCCGCCTCCGATCATACCTTACCCCAAATACAGCCAAAACCCTTGTGCGTGTGTTTGTCACCTCCTGCTTGGATTACTCAAATGCATTCCTCGCCAGTCTCCTCAGTTCCACTATTCAAAACATCCAGCTCACTCAGAACTCTGCCGCCCACATACTTATCTGGACCGAACTCCATACCCACATCTCACCAGTTCTGGCCAGGCTCCACTGGCTACTCATCATCGAATGGATCGACTTCAAACTCTTCACACTTGTGTTCAAATTCCTTCACTCCCTGGCACCTCCCGACTTTTCCAATCTCCTCACTGCCCAATCCACCACCTGGTGCCTCCACTCGACTGGTATGGCCTCTTGCTTGACCCTCGCATCTTCCGCTCCACCATTGGAGGTTGCACTTTCAGAGGTTACTCTGTCCCTCAATCCCTTCACCTTGTCCCCTCTCTCCCCTTTTTCAAGTCCCGCCTAAAAACCTTTTCGACTGCTCCACCACAGCACCCACTCCCCCAGCTCAGAGTCAGGCTTCACCACTGTTAAGCGCTCTGAGACTACCCTGCGTGGAGGGTGCTATTTAAGTGTAAGCAGTTGTTGTAGGAGGAATTACTTCACGTAGAGGGTAGTGAGATTGTGGAAGCAGTTGCCTGAAGCAATAGTTGAATCAGATTGTGTAGATGCATTCAAAAGGAAGCTAAACGTTCAAATGAGGGAGAGGGGAATAGAAGGTTACGGGGAGAATAAGGAATGGAGTATACACACTGCACAGACTGGTTGGGCCGAGTGGTCTGTTTCCGTGCTGTACATTCTTTATCATTTCTCTTTGTTTTATACTCATAACTTGTACTCGTCACACATAACTCCATTATGTGTATGAATTCGTGCTTTTCACAAACTGGGATAACTTGTTATGGTGGAATCAGTAACAATAAGAATTGGCTGTTAATATAGGAGATCCAGCTGTACTGAGCTGACACTGAGCAACTATTCTGTTTCGGTCTCAAGACCTTTCTCTTTGACCGCTCCCCTCTCGACTCTCTACCCCCTCCTTGCTCCCTCCCTTCCATCCCCTCACCCTGACCATTTCCCCTCTGCTCGAGTCCTGACCCAACTGTCCAGCGCCTTGGGACGTCCTCCCGACGTGAAAGGCGCTCTATAAATGAAATCTTGTTGTTGTTGTTTACTGATCAAAATACAGCAATCAGCTATGTAGAGTACTGCAACCGACTGCATGTCCTTTAAAAGTAATTTAAGAAAGTACAACAAGAAAACTATAAGTAATGGATTTGTTTTGCACATAATTTAGGAAACGTAACTAATAAGTACAGTGGAATTGGATTAGTACAAATTATTTGTGCAATTTTACGCAGTTAGGGGGAAAAAAGGGTGTTTTAAGAGTTGAGACTTTTTATTACACTTCTGGCATTTGGTCCAGAGGATTTTATACTTTAAGCCTTGTATTCATTTAAGCATTATTTCCTAAACGGTTCGACTCTGTATGTTTAAACTGAACTGCAGAAGCCCCCTGCTGTCTGTATCTTTGTTCATAATGAAATTCGATTCATAGCTGCAGGGAATCTTACAACGGCAGGGGGCAGCATGATTCGGAATGACAAAATCAGGGTATGGCTAGTTTCGAAAATATATTATATTTATATTAAATCAGTTTTTGTTCATAATTTTGCACATAATTTTTTTGATTTACAATGAGCACCATTAAAAGAATTTTATACGTTTGCTGCTTTAAATTCCTGCAATTTTTCCTATTTCTTTTCTTAGGAAGAACATTTAGCTGCTTGAGCTGATGAAATTCATTCACTATTTTTGTTAAGCTGTTATTTCATTTTTAAAAGTATTAATTTTAAAACTGCTTTCAGCTCCTACAGCACCACTGGCTTCACTTGTTCACCTATTGTAAGAGCTTGTTACATGTACAGCAGCTGCATGGTGATTATTCTTATGTCATGCAGCTTGTTAAAGATATGTTGTCACTATGTGTCCAAGTGTGATTCACTTACAACTATGGTTTACAGCTGAGCTCATTCTCATCTTAAATGCATGTACTTTGTTTTTAGTGTATCCGAGGAAGGAAAGCATCGCTTGAAGAACTGCAGACAATTCACTCGGAGCAGCACACATTACTGTATGGCACAAATCCACTGAACCGGCAGAAGCTTGACAGTAAGAAATTGCCTGATGTAGCGCCCTTCTCTCATCATTCCCTTTTGCTGCAACATTCCATGAATAGCCACCACTCTCGGGCCAGTTAGCCAAGGCGTGTTGGTAAACAGTAAAAGCAGAAGTTAGTGGTGGTGAACTTCCAAAAGGTTTTTGCCTTTCTTCAAAATTGTCAGTGTTGTACAGATCAACGCTGTGTCACTGGGGTCTAAATTGCAGTGATAGGAGTTGCAATAACGACACTGACAAGCTACAAGAAACAGTTGCTTCCGGGAAGTTTTATTATTGGCTCCTGTTATGATGACTCCTGTTACAAATCACTGTAATTTAGAATGTTTTTATAAGTGTTTGAGGATCTAGTTGGGCTTGATATACTTTCTTGATAAGCAAGTCTTGTTTGTATGTACGTACATCCCCGTACATGAGGAGGAGAAAACTCTTAGTAAGATGTATGCTGTTTTTCTCCCACACTTCATAGGCTGGCTTGGCTGCTGGTAATTTTGTAAGATTCTTTTCAAGATGACGTTTTCTTCAAGGAAAACGTGCTAACGATTTTGAATGCATCAGTGCCTCTACAATTCAATAACTTTCAGGCATCAGTAATGTTTTATTATAATAGAAAAGTGCTTGATCAAATGGTCACTGAACATCTTGAATAAATGAGTGGGTATTCCACGGTTCCCAATAGCCTGAGCAATGCAGTCGTCGTCAGCTGTCTTTTCCTTGCTGCTATCTTGGCGAAAGCCTGTTGTAGGGAAGCCTCCAGGGACCTTTAAGAAAGTACTGTTTATAGAAATATTTGGGCACAGTGATTTCCGCAATAAATTAGCTTAAATTTGTTTCATTATTATTTAAGTTTTATATTTATCAACATGTCCTATTTAAATCTTTTATTGCTTTTGAATCTTAGTGTGCTGTACTGTGCACCAGTTATTTCTCTTTGACCGAGCCTTCAGCTCCCCTCTCGACTCTCTTCCCCCTCCTCGCTCCTTCCCTCCCCTCACCCTGACCATTTCCCCCCTCCTCGCTCCCTCCCTTCCCTCCCCTCACCCTGACCATTTCCTCCCTGCTCGGGTCATGACCCAACTGTGCAGCGCCTTGGGACGTCCTCCTGACGTGAAAGGCGCTTTATAAATGGAATTTTGTTGTTGTTGTTAATCTACCATCTAAAGTGTAAAGGAAAATTATGCCAGTTGGCATTCATTGTAGATTAGTTCTTACTGCTAGGGTCTCTGCACCTCCCCATCCCCTCAACTACAATCATCTCATTGTAGTTTACAACATGGTCAGTCTTCAATGGTATGTGGATTCCCTATCTGGTTTGCAGTCTTCATTCTTCTTATGCATCCGCTACACACCACACTCCCACCCTTTCTGTCCCCAGCCCTGGTCCTGGCAACAATGTTGTATTTCCTCTCATCTCATGGGTTATGGTTGGGGCTGCCTATATATTTGGCACAGGGGAAAATCATGTGAACCCCTTATTGAATGCCCTGAGGTATAATTTCTTAAGGCAGTATGGTGCTTTATTTGTTTAATGTAGCCAACGGAATATAGCAGGAAGATCTTTCTAGAGGTGCAAGGCTGATGAGTTTGTGCCAAGCAACCCCCATTGATGATCTAATGCAGGCCTGCCTTGCCCCAGCCATGTTGTGTTCCCCCCCAAAAGCAGTTTCCTTCTAATGCAAAGTGGTCTTGCTTCCTTCCATCCCCTCGCACAGGAGATAGAATGTTACAAGGCTATCATTTACATTGTGTAATTTACAAGGGAGTGGCTTTGAATATATTGAAGACAGCATTTGCATATTTTTCTATCTAATTGGACAAAGCATGTTTTCCTTTTTCTGTTTTCTGATGCTTTGAGTTTTGCAGCTTTTAAACACGAACATCTTCTGGGTTCAAGTTATATTCCCTTGTGGTCAGTTCACAAAGAAATTGCCCAAGTTTTCCCCACCATGTCTTGCTCATGTTGTGTTGCCTTGCCATTTAGCTTTGTTGCAGCATTACAATATAGAAAAGTGCATTGTAACCAGTTAAGTTATAATGAATGCAATAGTTTGTTGTGCTATGCAGTAAAGAAAAATTAGCTCTTCTGCAAATGTTTTTTAGGTTAGAAGATCGAATCCCTGGAGTTCACACACCTCTGTCAATTTTATGGTTTAGAAATTTGAATAACATACGGAAATGTCATTGTGCCTTCATTGCCTCCAAGTTAATAAAAAAAGAATAGAATTTTCAGTATTGGCTTTGAACACCTAATTAACAGCAAGGAATCGCTGCTGCAGTAAAAGCATTTTGTGTGAACCCAAGGGCCAGTAAAGGCTTTGGTTAACACAATTTGTGGGAAACGTACCTTATGGACATTGTTTTAGATTTCTAGTTGTAATGGATAATACTGGGTTACAATTTCAGAATTTCTGTGAATATGTAAACCAATTTTTTGTTGCTTTGTCCACAGGTTCGGTCACCCCGATGTTTGTTATGCTCCCGTGCGGTGGGCTCGGAGTAAGTAGGATTTTCTCTTCCCCCACCCCCCTCTTTGCATACTGTATGAATGTGTCTTATTTGTCCTTTCCATCTCACTAGCAATGTAAATTGTTGCTTTGACTTCCACTGAGTGGATAATTGAGAACAGATGGCATCCCTATAAACAAGAATTCAAGGTTAGCTGGACTTGAATCACTGGCTCAACCACAACTAGGTACTTGTGTGACATAGTTCAGAGAATAATCCTAGAGAAATTGAGCAATGATAAAATGAGAGAAATATTCACTCAATTCTCTCCCCAGAGCACTATTGCTTACAGCCACACTAAGTAGATGTGAAATGGATTCACTCATAACAGTTTAATTTTTTTCCTCAATGCACTGTTGAAATCACGTAAATAACAAAAAAACATAATTGTGACATTGTAGCTTTTCACATTAGAATAGCTCAGTGATTCACACAATACGAGTTTCTTTGAAGTTTAGTGACCTGATATTGTTGGCATCATCTGTGCCAGCAGCATCCCACAAACACATAGTAGGGTCGTTCTTTACATCTTCTGACATAATTCAGGCTATTAGTGATGCCTTCTCTAGGTGTAGTACATGAGAAGAAAATTGCAGGCTGTGAAGTTCATTTGTGATATATTTGCTCAGTATAAGAAGCTACATTTTAAATTTCCTCATCCACAAGGTTTTGCCCACAAATATACAATCAATTCACTTTACAGCATATTCTGTGAAGCGCTTTGAGATGTCTAGAAGATGTGAAAAGGGCTATATCAGATGCAAGGATTATTTATTATTATTTATTATCCACTTACAGACTTTTATTGGTCTGATTGCAAATACAATAATCGGGGGGTGGGGAGGTAAATCGAGTTTCAGCTCCAAGGCGACATGTTTGGCAGTGGAATGTCAGAATCGAGCCAGCCCTCTGTGGCATCTCAGTCGTCCAGTTCCTGAGCCAGGTCACTGCTGATGACATCCCAGCCAGCCTGGCTCATTGGCAGGATTTGGAAGGGCAGGGTGGGGACAGGGATTCTTTCCACTCCTAATAACCCTGCAAGACAACACCCTAACGGCTAGGGTGGGTCATCTTCATAAAAATCAAGTGTTTTAAATGAGAGCCATAAAGATTATCAACTTCCAAAAGACACTATGTCCGAATGAAAGGGGAAGGTTTCATTCTTTTTCCTTTTATGATGAAAAGTTTACTTGTGCTCTGTTACGGTACCATGTGAAATTGGCTGGTAACTTCTGAGCATAGTTTTTTCTTGTGTAAGCCATAAAGCCAAATAGCATTTGTTTGTTGAAACGAGGACACATTTGTGGGTGTTTGCATTATTATTTAAAACACAATTTTTATGATCCCTTGTTTATTACTGTCTATTGCAATAATAGACAAAGATTGATATTTGTCAGTGGTTACTCATAGGAGGAATGAAAGCAGCTGCTTTAAAAATAAATAGGTTCCAGGTTTGCACATTTACATAGTAAGTGGCCTTTTGTGTACATTAACAGTAATGAAGTTGAGTGTTTTCATGTGGGACTAATGCCTGCATATGTCTGCACTTATTATGCACCATGTTTCAGAACTGAATCTCAATTCTGATTAAACAAGGTGCATCAACAACAACTTGCATTTATATCGCGCCCTTCACGTGGGGTAGCATCTCAGTGCGCTTGACAGTGGCCGAGTCTGACAACAAGCCGGGGGAGAGGGAGGGGGTGCATAAGCACAATCAAAAGGGAAGGTCTTCAGGCGGTATTTGAAGGTGGGGAAGGAAAGCCCATCAGGAGGGTAAGTGAGGACAGGCATCAGGAAGTATAGGGAGAGGGTAATAAATGATATAATAATCCCTGCATTTTATACAGCAACTTTTATGTTGAGAGGACACCTAAAGCAGTTCACAGGATTTACTGTAAAGTATAATAACTTTGCATATCCCACAAACAGCCATGAAGTGAGTAACCAATTTTTTTCTGAAGGATTGCTGGCCAATAAGCCAGGAAAGATTCACTTGCAATGTGGATTTTAACTCTTAATCACCGTCAATCTAAAACATGAATTTATGGCTGATGGTGCTTAAGCACATTTCATAGGTGAGGCAGATAGGTACATTGCGTCAGGCCATAGCATATGTCAACCAATGCTCCCCACCCTATATTCCATGCTGCATTTTATATATTTATCCAAATATGTATCTAGTTACACTCCTCCCAGGCCAGCAGGACACTCGTCCATACCTTTATATGTCCAGGTTCAACTATGCCAACGCTCTACTTGCCAAACTCCAGCTTTCCCTGCAAAGGCTACAGACTATTCCAGAATTCTCCAGCCCATGTCCTCTCCGGTACCAGCCTCCACAATCCTATCACCTTCATCCTTCCTTGGCTCCCCATTCCCCAAGACGCTCATTCTCACATTTAAATCCATCCATGGTCTCGCCCATGGAACTTCACCCACCAACCAGTTGTTGTTCAGTTGGGAATACTGGCCTACTCCATGCTCTCTGTTTTATCCACCCCACCTTTGTAAAGTATAGAAGGCCTACAATGCTATATTCTGAAACATTCTCAGATTCCTCTGACGTGTTCCTTCCCTCCTGTCTTTTAAATTGCGTCTCAAAACATACCTCTTTGACTGTGCTTTTGGTCATCTTTTTCCTTTCTCATCTTCTTCCAATGCCACACAAGTATAACCTATTGTGCCCCAGTTACTGGATTATGATTGTATGTCAGCAACATTCTCTCCTGCAAAAATCTGTACAAGATCAAAAAGTATTGCCAAATAATGAATGAAAACTGCTCTTTTAAGTTAAAGTAAACTGACCTTTCCTTGTAAAAATACAATGTTTGGTGTCATAGTGGATGTATTCATGTTTCCAACACCAATCATAATCTAAAGTAAAATTGTACAATCTGTAAATGGCAGCTTTGACCAAATGTCATGCTTATCTTGTCTCTCGAATACAACAAATGTGTGTTATAAACTCGCTTAAAAATTCTGCTGTAGGAAGTCTAAAGTAAATATACCTTCAATTAGTACCACCACAGTGTTACGCAATGCAGATAGACATATTTTTGATTCACACATAAATACATTATTTATGTACCTTGGGATGGAAAGCAATGATGGAGTTGCTAGGTTTGCCTGTTACACGATACAAACCTGACTACCACCTTGGAGAAGTGCTATTTATAACATGCACTCAAACACGATTTACACCACAGCTGTAAATTCATGTGGTTTCAGATTCACAGCAAATAAGATAAAAAAGAAAGCTAATGAAGAAAATGGAGCATATTTATACCGAGCAACAATCGAGATTCTCTGAATGCAAAATCATTGAACCCACAGTCTCAGGGGGATGTGGTAGAGTATATTATATGTTAAATGGAATTGAGAAATAAATTATTTTGAAAGGGAATTCAACCTGGAATGATACTTTCAGATCTGCCAAAGCAGCAGAACACTCAAGAACAAGGTTCAAATGAGCTGTGAAGAGAATAACATGTCACATAACAGGCGATGGTCATTCAACACCTCGGGCCAGTCCACCAGTTTATTAGACTTGGCAGATTCAATCCTATTTCTCTGTCTTTTCTGCAGACCCATTAATACCCTTATTTCCAGGAAGTATTTCTTTACAAAAATCAACAGCAGGTAGAGGCTCTATGAAGAGTGGTTAGGGTCAGAGACTGAACTCGTATGAGGAACAACTTGATGTTATAATGCAGAAAACAGAATATGCTGGATTCTGAGATTATGTAGGCTTAAGTGTCATCTTCATATGACTTTCTGTCTTGCTGTGCAATCATATACTTCAATATTGTACTCTGCGATCCATTTAAAATATAAGTTCAAAATACAGGGTTGTCTAAGATGGTTTTAAGCCAGCATCGTCATGTAAGGTTTATTTCTGCTGTTTATTTTATCTTTGTTGCATTGCACAGGTGGACAGTGACACAATTTGGAATGAGATCCACTCATCTAGTGCTGCCCGTTTGGCTGTGGGCTGTGTGATCGAGCTTGTGTTTAAAGTGGCCTCCAAGGAATTAAAGGTGAGCTTCCTTTTTAACAATAACAATTTGCATTTGTATAGCAATCTTCATGCAGACAGCATTTCAGATCACTTAATAGGGACGAGCAGTACACCCGAGCCAGCTAAGTGCAGGCAGCAGCTAGTGTAGTGGGATGTGAGCAGATCGGAAGGTAGGGAGGTGCCGGGCGTGATGTGATTTGAAAGTGTGAGTGAGGTATGTTTAAATCTATCTGTTCTGTAATAGGGATCCATTGGAGCATGGCAAGAACTGGTGTGCAATTTAAGTACCTGATGAATTGCACCTATTTCAAGACAACTACTGAATTAGGATCTTGAATCATTTACAAATATGAATTCTACTGATATTGTGTAACATCAACCAACCCAATTATTTATCCTGTTTGTGCACCAGAATGTTTCCAATCTGTGGTGATGGTATAAATCATGGGTTCTGAAAAAGAGTAAAATGGGGGTGCGAATTAATTTATCATCTTTTTTTTAAATTGAAACATTTCTTGTAAATTAGCAGATTGTTTTCACCTGTCGTTTAAAGAGTGGAATACAGATTTGTCAGACTCAGATGAATAATGTTGCTTAACGTTAGGTTTGAAGGAGTCTTTGCAGAGCCTTTTACAGGGATAGAACGGGAAGAAGTCCATGCTAAGACTTGTGTAGGCTGTGGAGGGAGTGGGGTTGATGGTCATATGGCCTTTTTTCATTCCATCCTTTATCCTCTTTGTGCCTCTGGATCTTCAAATGTATACTATGCAGTTTTGAGCTTTATTGACAAGCATGAGAGAGAAGTGAACCATTATTTATAGACCTGGCACACACAAGCCTTCAGCTAATGGATTCTTTCCTGGCAATTTGCTCCCCTTGACAATATTTTCATCTTTGAAGCATGCTTTATCTTCCTCAATTACTTGGTTGCTATAGTGTAGTCCAAATAGGTGCTGTGATTGCTGGTGTATTTGCTAATGAACTGATGCATGCCCAAATGCACTTCCCAATCTACATGCTAATTTTCATCTAAAATTCCACAGGATAAATACCAGTGCAAAATTAATTTTAAACAAAGAGAAAATGTATTTCCTAATTGAAAGGCATGTGTACTGTGGTAGGAATGGAAACAATGTGTGAAAATATGCATTACTTTGCCATGCAGCTGGCAGCGTAGCAAATGATTTTGCACCACATACCTCAACCTCTTGCTATGGGAAAAAAAATTATATTGGAAATTAAATGGAATGACTAATGTACAAATAAGGAATGGCATTGGATTTTAAAACATCTTAAAATGTACCTCTTTAGCCTTGCTTTGGTACACCCTCGATTTTACTCTTCCCTCAGTGCTCAGTGACCTCATTGTTTTGTGAAGGACTTTGAGATATTTATCCTACATGAAAGGTACTACATAAGCACTGGTTGTTGTTTATCTTTCAATCTCAACCATGAGTCGATAAATGCAGTTAGGAGGGAATAGCATTTTGGAACCAAATTTTGAATGAGGACCAGACTCAGTCGTAAAGTTTCTGGATTTGATTGAGGTGGGTCCATTCCATCCTTCATTCTGTTGAGATGAATTAAGTAGCATGTCTGAACAAATTCTGTTTGAATAGAAGGGAATACGAGCTCACATTGAGGTATGTTCATGTTATGCAATGAAAATGCTGGTGTTTTACAGAATGGGTTTGCAGTTGTCCGACCTCCTGGACACCATGCAGAGGAAAGCACGCCGATGTAAGTAGCCATCTTGCTTGCAGGACGAGTGAAAAACGCCCCACTCCTGGTGCTTGTAAACCAGTCACCTGCCCTTCTCGAGCTGTTTGTGTGTAATTGGCAACATGTGTGCACAGAACCAAAAGCAGTGGAAGTTTGTCCCCACTGAGCCTTCACCTCTGATGATAAACGAGTAAAAGAATGCAAGCAATCAGAATCAAGGAGCAGTATTATTAACAGTTATCCTTTCTTCTCTCTCTCTTCACCCCCACCCCACATTCATCTACCACCAGGGGATTCTGCTACTTCAATTCTCTGGCCATTGCAACCAAACTACTCCAGCACAGATTGAATGTCAGCAAGATCCTTATAGTGGACTGGGTGAGTGAACAGGTTGAAGCGAAACCATTGGTTAGAGAAATGGGCTTGCAATGTAGAGGAGGATGTTTATTATCCTGCTCCGTTCACCTTCCTAAACAGTGTTTCAAACCATCAAACCAGCACCCAGGACATTTCTAGTCACGGCCAGATGGAGTTTAAATAGATTAAGCTAATCCCATCATTTAAAGTAAGGCTTGAATTAAGTGACAGGAAAAACATTTCTTCTGGAGCAACACTTTTCTCTCCTATTTGTTGCTGGTGCTTGTAACCTTAGCGTTTATTAATCTTTTATGCACGATATGGTCTTATGTTTCTGATCCCAGTGAAATTCAGGCATCTCGTTAGCTTTGGCACTCGGCCTTCGTTGTAACTTAAACTCTCCTGCTCCGGTGAAAGTGCTGTGGACTGATTTTATTGAGCTCTGCAATTCGTTGGAATGGGAATGCAAGTATGTGTGACTGTTGGAACTGGAACTGGAACTGGAACCTTCCTCCCCAGAAACAAACTTTTATCAGTCTGACACAGAGTGGCAGAAGAGAGCACGTAGTTCAGATCACCCAGTGCTGATCACTAGCTGGAGTCCTGCATATCCTTCTAGCCTCTGGTTTCTCTCTTCCCCCAGTACATAGATACAGCTATGTCAACAATGGGTGAAGATAGGATTGGACTCAGCTGTGACCTCTTCCTTCTGCTGCCCCTGAAGGCAATGCCACCACCATTCGAGGCTTACGTCTGAATAATAGATTATGGCCACTTAGTCAGTTTATTAATAGAAGAACAACTGAGTCATTTTTCAATAGGCGAGAAAATTGAGTAGATTATATTGATATCAAGTCGATTGGTGAGATGGCTATCCTGGACACTAGCTCTACCATCAGTGAAATACTTAAAAAGGATTGTGTTAGAACTGTGTGAAGCAGCTCCTGAATCACAGATTAGATGCTCAAGATGTGAAATCTTTTTATTATTAATAAAGAAAGGTTGAGACTTACTTTCAAACTGGCTACTAAATATGTTTGTAATATCTTGTACAACAGGATGTGCATCATGGTAATGGTACCCAGCAGGCTTTCTACAGCGACCCCAATGTACTGTACATTTCACTTCATCGCTATGACGACGGGAACTTCTTCCCAGGCAGTGGTGCCCCAGACGAGGCAAGTTTATTCAGGTTATAGTTAACACTTTTTGGCATCAGAGGGAGAAAATATGTTCTTTTCTTAATGTTAAAAGTACAGAAATGTTCCATGTGCCTTTTTATTCTATTACAGTAGTACAAAGCAGTTGAAATTTTTAAGCTTGCTACAGGGCTGAAAATGTGTTGTACAGTGCTACTCACTTATCTCAAACCTGTTTATATCGATACCCTGCGTATGTCGACAAAAATCTGAAGTCCCAGACTCTTCACCTAATAAGAACACGTCAAACTTACCATGTATGTTGAGGTTGACAGAAATTTTGGCGTTCTTATTTCAACAAATTATTCAAGTCCCCCTATAGTGCAGAAATTCTCCACTTGAGCATTTGGGGCATGCGGTCCATCTGTACTTCCCCCTTGAGAAAATTGAGTAGATTATATTGATATCAAGTCGATTGGTGAGATGGCTATCCTGGACACTAGCTCTACCATCAGTGAAATACTTAAAAAGGATTGTGTTAGAACTGTGTGAAGCAGCTCCTGAATCACAGATTAGATGCTCAAGATGTGAAATCTTGGAGTCCTGTAGCTCAGTGGTTAGAGCACTCGCTTTGCAAGTGAGAGACCTGAGTTCAATTCCAGGCAGAGGGCGAAACCTTGGGCAAGTTTCCTTACTCCACACAGAGCCTAATAATAATCCCTCCAAAAAAAAAAAAAAACAATAATTAAATTGGTCATTTTCAATCTACGACTGTTTGTGGGACATTGCTGTGCGCAATTGGCTGTCGCGTTCGCCCACAAATATACAGTCAATTCACTTTACAGTGTGTTCTGTGAAGCGCTTTGGGACGTCCTCCCGACGTGAAAAGCGCTATATCAAATGCAAGGATTATTATTATTATTATTATAGTCACAGAGCACGGGGCTACATCTCCCAGTGGGCACCTTGACTGTCAACGACTGACAGGACTTGGTTTGTGCGTTTATGTCAGCCCAGTGTGACATATCGACAAAATCTGCTCAGTCCCCGTGATGTTAATATAAACGGGTAGGAATGTACAGCAGCAGTATTGCGTTGAAGAAACAATATGGTTGTTGAACAATATAATGTGTACTTTTTGTTGAAAGCTGCTGGAGCTAAAGTGCGATCTTAAAATACTTTGTAACAAAGGAGAAGAAAATAACTCACAGCACTCTGTGCGGTTAGCAGATTGAGTCTATTCAGCAGATTTAAGATACTATAACACAATCCACACACTGAAAAGAGCATTCTGATTGCTATTTTTCTGGGAGAGAAATCTAAGCAAAGGAACTTGTGGTCAACTTTGTCATCCTTTAGGAACATTTTCTCTTCTATGCACATTTAATTTTATTTTTATTCAGATGGTGATTTGTGAAAAAAGAGACTCCTTTCTTAAATCCAGGAAAGAATTTTGCTTTTTTACAACATCAGCTGTGCTTTGTTATTTGTCAAAAAGGAAAGTAATGTCCAAGATCACCATCTCTGGCACATCCAGTTATAGAGTTTAATAAAGTACAGCTGGTAGATGTGACCGTTTTACAGATCATTTTCTGAAAAAAAGTTTTGAGTCAAATATCAATTAGTTAAGATATCAAAGAGTTGCATGGGAGATGATGTCTCCACACTAAAATCATTTCTGTTGTGTTTTAGGTTGGGACTGGTCCTGGTGTAGGATTTAACGTTAATATGGCTTGGACTGGAGGCCTGGATCCACCAATGAGCGATGCTGAGTACTTGACTGCATTTAGGTAAAGCTTTTAACATTGAGATTATTAATTGGAATACTGTGTGCAGGTCTGGTCACCACAATATAAAAAGGATATTGCAGCGATTGAGAGGATACAGAGGAGGGCAACCAAAATGATTGAGGGGTTGGAGGGACAGGACGATTAGATAAACTGCAATTAGATAAACTGGGCATTTTCACACTGGAGAAGAGAAAGTTGAGGGACGATATGATTACTGTCTTCAAGATTCTAAAGGGAATAGATAATGTAGACCATGATAAACTGTTTTGTACTAAACAGTAGAACCAGAGGTCACGGCCTGAGATTAAGGGGGGAAATTCAGAAGAAATCTGCGGAAACACTACTTCAGTGCTCGAGTAGTAAACTCCCTAGGGAGACAGTGGAAACAGAAAATGCCATTTGTTTCAAGAACAAATTAGATAGATTTCTGCTACAAAATAATATCTTGGGAGACAGTGTATAGTTTGGGACACAACATGTCAAGCAACTGCCAGGATGGAAGAAGGCGAGCTAGATGGATCTTGATTTTCTTTCGCTTAATAAATCTTTATGTTCTTATTAACACTGAAAAAGGTCACTCCCAATATTGTCAAAGAATATACAATTTGTCAGTTTCATGATATAAATCATTGTTTTCTTGCATTGAATACCAAGTTTTTATGTAACATTCAACTTCGTCTGAACCTACCATTCCTCTTGTACCGAGTAGGATTACTATTGTAACAACACATCATTAGTTAGGGTAAAACTAACCTGCTTCACATTAATAATTATTTATGACACCCTGTTGAAAACCACCACCCACATTTCTTGGGGCGGCTAGACAGTAACAAAAGTGTTGAAATCCCAGCATATGTCCAGTCTCTAATACATAAGTGGGAGAACACTCCATGTTCAGAGATGCTATTCTTTGGATGAGTAAAATCAAGGTCCCATCTGTTTCCTCTGACGACACTGGTATCCTGGGCAATGATCCTCCAGTTACATTAGTAATTCACCTCATTATTGCTTGTGGGACCTTGCTTTATGCAAAATGGCTGCTGCATTTGCCTATAAATATTGTTACTACACTTGACAGCGATTGCCTATAATGTTTGGCGTGACAGACACTTTATCAAATGAAAGGATTATTATTATTATAACTTGAAGACTTGGGTTTGATCCAAGTCTCTACAAACATTCCTACTCGAGATCTGAAGGCCAAAACCTCTAGCTATTTGCCTGGATTACAGATAGCTCTTGAGGCATGGATGGCTGACATGTAATAGTCTGCACGCACTGGACCATCACAACTTGTCTGAGGGACATCTCGGCCAGAGGAGGGTTTGTAACCTATTTAGGTATGAATAGAATCCATTTTGGCAGGTTGAAAAGTCACAACTTCATTTAAATAACAATAAGTAAAGCATCAAAACAGATTTTGTATTTGTTGAAATTTAATATCGTTAAACTTGCTATAGCGCCTTTCGAAACGTGAGCACTTCTCAAAGTGTTCAATGGATTATACTGTAAAATGTTGTGACTGTGTAATTTGTTGTTGATATGCATATATGCAACAGCTAACTTGCACACAGCAATGTCCCACCAACAGTCATGAAGTGAATGACTAATTTTATTTTGGGGGTTGTTGGAACCAGGAACAAACTCCCTTGTGTTTTCAAATAATGCCATTGGGATCTTTTATCATTCACTTCAAGAGGCAGATTTATGAAATAATTAGCTGTAAAAGCACAAAGCGAAATAATTTTTAAAAATGATCAAAGTTGCCATCAGTACCTACAGGTGCAGATTTCATTCAAACATGCAGCCTTGAATTCTATGAGTGTAAAATATACAGAAATGCTGAGGTTTTTTTAACCCTTGCAAAATGGAAAGTGTTACTAATAAATAAAAGGACGTTCTCTGCTTGTAGGAATGCTTTAAGATTGATGTACTTTTATCATTTGAACTTAAAGACCTTTTCTTTTGTGACTAATTTCTGGCCTGTGTTTTATGTGAACTTGGGGACTTTGATTGTGGCTCTGAGAAATGTAGTTTCTTCAATATAAATTGCTTCTAGCTATTTTTGAAAATGTTTAAAACTGTTGGCGAGAAGCTTTTTGTATACTGTTAGATGTTCCCTTCTAGTTTGTAATGTTAGCTTCTGTTTATAATTGATGAAGTACAAGCATTACTCACAAGTCTAAATACATACTGAGTTAGAAATTGTTCACATCCATCTTCACATTAAGTAGCTTGGTAGAAGGCATGAATCATCCCAGTGCTAATGAAAATCGTTTGGCTTCATTTAGAATAGGTCGTCAGACTGTTGTTTTAGTATTGTCTTATTATGCAAACACATTGAAAAATATTAGTTCCAGAAATCCATGAATCTTACTTGTAAGCATCTGTTTAAGCCTGCAACCACCTATTAGATAGGAATACAGTCAGCACCTCTGAAACAAAAGCAAGGCAAGCATTTTGAAACCTCATTTATGCAATTTGTGTAAACAAAGTCATTGTGATGTTATGGTGTCTGTTACTTGATGCCATGTATTTTTGATGTTGGGAGTTAAATAAGTTTAACTAAGATTTTTATTCTTTTTAGGAACTGTTCCACCGATTTTCTATGTGAAATAAGACTTTGAAGTATAGAATTTATAGTACGAGTGGGCTTAGCAAGAAATCACAACAGGTCGTATATTCAGCATTTTGTAGGCCTCCAGAGACAATGGATGCCTTGAAGGCAGCACCTTGTTATTTAGAACCATAGAATGCCACGTTGCATTTGCTGGGGATCAAGCCTAAGATGAAAAAAGATAAGATAATTGGACATAATGAAATCCAGAAGGCACTCAGTTTCACCATGAACTTGGAAGTCGACTGTAGAATTGAACTTAATTCAAACCAGCTCGGAAATGCCAAATGCAAGCACTTTGAAGTCAGCGAGGAATCAAAAGTACTTTACGCTCAATGGTGACTGTAGATGTGTGTTTAACCTTTGCCAATTGCAAGGACTTTGAAGTCAGTGAGGAATCAAATGTACTTTACGCTCAATGGTGACTGTAGATGCGTGTTTAACCCTTGCTGGCACTGAGTGGGAAGCGTTGAGATTATAAATAGTGCATCAGTCGGCGTGACAAATCACAAGTCAGTTAGCCAATTTAGCTTTATCGGACTTTGATTCCTGTGCATTTTTCTGGAATAAAAGACCAGGAATAAAAGACGGTGGTAATAGAACCCGGTTAGATGGATTTTTATCCTTTCAGTAACTGAGAATGAAGGCTAGAATGGATAAAATCTTTCCTTCTGGCTTAATTGTTGGAGTCACAACCCACTTAATAACTTAATGCAAGAATAAATTACATTAAAAGCCATTTGGTTTCCAGAGAGCTTTGTCTTTTAAGCATAATGTCTGAACAGGCAGTCAGACAGAATTAGGAAAAGCCTGCGACACTAAATCTGGTAATATCTTGGGTAGCATCGAGCAACAGAGTTTCACACTATGTGACTGGTCAGGTCAATCATGAACAGAGGGAATGTATATATTTTGTTTGGTCAGGTGAGGGAGTGACATAGAGTAATCCTTGCAAGTTTCTAAACCAGACAATGTTCCATATATGTATGTCACCTATGCAAGATAATTGTATGGAATGTTCATTCCCTTCATAGAGGAATTTGGCTTACCTGGTTTTGGAAAGTATGATGACTCATATAACTCAGTGTTAACTCCTGTAGCTCAGTGGTTAGAGCACTCGCCTCGCAAGCAAGAGACCTGAGTTCTATTCCCGGCAGGGCGAAATGTTGGCCAAGTGTCTTTACTCCACAAGCCTCTGTTTACCTAGCAGTAAGTAGGAACCTGGTTGTTAGTTGAGTGGCGCATCGCTTTTCGGGGGATAATAATTCCCCCCAAAAAACAATAATAATTTAGTCACTCGATCCACGACTGTATGTGGGATACTGCTGTGCATTATTGGCTGCCACGTTTCGCCCACAAATATAGTCAATTCAATTTACAGTGTATTCTGTGAAGTGCTTTGAGATGTCTAGAAGAGGTGAGAAGCATTATATCAAATGCAAGGATTATTATTAGCAGTAGTAGCGAGAACCAAGATTTGGAAATTTCCTAAGTGTGAGTTAGGATATTGCTGGAGTTTAACCAGCTAAAACCATATCACCATTGTGAAACCTGTCTAAGCTTCCTGCTGTTTATCCAGCTAGGGCCACCCTTTTTGTTAGGCTTCCGAGTTAGCAGGAGCCAAGTGGATCCCTGCCCCAGTGCCTGGTCTGCTCCTCCAAGTCCTGCTGACTAGGTTTGCTGATTTGTTTTCAGTAGTGCCTTGGGAAAAGGTGAACCTGTCTGGTTCATGACTGCCACAGAGAATCAATTCAATTCTGACAATCCATTGACAGCCACATCAACTTGGAGCCAGTTCAGCCTCGTAGAGATGCTGCATAATCTCTCTCCCACCCCTAACACCTTGCTTTGTTCCCAGAACTCCCGATCTGGTTCACTGCTCATAGATCAAGCATTGATGGAAGACAACTTGCTTCTCCACATGAAGGGAAATCACAGGTGACTTACTGTGAAACCATTCATATGCACTAAATAGCTGGATATGGAGCCAAAGGTCCTAAACCTAGCAGCTGGTGCTTGCCCACCCCTAATCCAGTCGTGGAAATTATATGTTAGCAAAAAGCCATAAATAGGAGCCCATCAGAAAGTGTTGAAATCTTAAAATGATGAGTTCTTTGTTTTAATTTCCAAATACCAATCACCTGATTGCATGGTTCTAACATTGATCTAGGCACAGATTTAAACTTATAATAAACCCAGTGCCTATTTCATGTTGCTTGGGGCTGCTGCTATTTTGTGTAAACTAATCATCTTACTGAAATAAAAGTGAATAACCAGATGTCCCAATATTTGTGCTGTTATTTACATTTGAAGGAAATTTGCAAAAGCCTGGAATTCTGCAAGGTCTGGTAATATTCTTTCAAGGATGTTGGGGTAGATTGAC